CCTCCCCCTCTGCCTCCCGGCCCCGCCCCCACGCCTCTGCCTCCCTTGCTGCTTCCTGGCTCAGTCCTCTTTTTCCTGGCCCACCCCCGAGCCCCTCAGCCCTGCTCATAGATCCACCAGCGTTTAGGAAACTCGCACATAAAGCATTGGGCAGGAAAAGCCCATCCCTGCAGAGACGTGGACCTGCCCGCTGCCTCCGTTCACGTTTGTCACAAACCATCTCAACAAGGTGGCGTTCCGGATGCTCCTCAGCTGTGCCCCCAGCCCAGCTCCCTTCCCAGCTCTTTTCCACCCCAACCCTCTCTCCCATCTGGTCCCTGAGCTCAGCCTCCGTCACTCGGTGCTGAAAATGACCTCTTCCAATGTTATTTCAGCAACATGGCAGCTTCCGGGCCTCTCCCAGGCAACCTCACTCCCGAGGGTCCTGGTCCCAACAGGGAGATCAAGGTGAGTCCAAGCGTGCAAGCTGCTGCCATCGACTGAGCTCTGCTCCGGGCACTGTGACACCAGCTTTTCATGCCTATGTCGCTTACTGCTGGAAGAACCCAGTGGCGTGGGCACTGTTCTCACTTCTATGCAGAAACAGAGCCTTGGGATTAAGGATTTTGCTCGCGGTTGCACAGTCAGGAAGTGGACCAGGCTGGGGCAAGGGCAGATCCAGGCAGGAGGGGCTTCAGCAGTGGAAGAATTTGGAGACCTGAGACACCACTTTGCCAGGGCGCTCCAGGGGAACAGAGAGTCTCAAGCTTAAGCTCACAGCTGGGTGGGAAATCTGGCAAAGGAAGGGCACCAGGCCAGCCTGAGAGTGGAGAGAGGGGCCCTCGGAGAAAAAGAGAGCCCATTCTCTCTTCCCTGCTGGGGCCCTGTGTAGGTCAGACCCCTTGAGGTTGTCCCATGGTCCCTGACCCCCATCCCTTTCGTCCCCTTCGGACTTTTTCTTGCGGCTTCATTGTGGGTCGCTCTGCTGCTGGGCCCCAAGCCTGCCCTGCTGCCTTCGGTCCGTCTGCTGTGAACCCACCAGTGTACTCATCACGTCAAATTCCTTGCTTTCCATGTCTAGGATTTCCATCTGGTTCTTTATTCCCTTTTAATTTCTTAAAACTTCACCGAGGTGAAATTCACAGAGTGTAAAATAACCCTTTTGAAGTGTACAATTGTGTAGCAATGAGTCCACACACCCAGGTGCGTATCCATGACCTCTTTGTAGCTCCAAAACATTCCCGTCGCCCCCAAAGGAAGCCTAGTCTCCAGCAGCATTCGCCCCCCACTGTCTGTCCCTAAGGATTTACCTATTCTGGACATTTCCTATCAACACAATCATACAACGTGTGACTTTTTGTGACTGGCTCCTTTCACTTAGCATGTTTTCAAGGTTCTTCCATGTTGTAACATGGACCAGTGCCCTGTTCCTTTTCATAGCTGAATAATATTCTACTGTATGAATAGACCCCATGCTTTTCTGCTTTTTTTTTTTTTTTTAGATGGAGTCTTGCTCTGCCACCCATGCTGGAGTACAGTGGCACAATCTCGGCTCACTGCAAACTCCGCCTTCCAGGCTCAAGCAATTCTCCTGCCTCGGCCTCCCTAGTAGCTGGGATTACAGGTGCACGCCAACATGATGCCAGGCTAATTTTTGTATTTTTAGTAGAGATGGGGTTTCACCATGTTGGCCAGGCTGGTCTCAAACTCCTGACCTCAGGTGATCTACCCACCTTGGCCTCCCAAAGTACTGGGATTGCAGGCATGAGCTACCTCGCCCCGCCAACCCCATGCTTTTTATCCACTCATTGTTTGATAGACACTTGAGTTGTTTACATCTTTTGGCTATTCTGAAGAGTGCAGCCACAAATATGCACACACACAACTATTTGTTTGAATTCCTGTTTTCAATTCAAGCAAAGTTTCTGGGTCATGGGATAATGATGTGTTTAACTTTCTAAGAAGCTGCCCATTGTTTTCCGCCGTGGACGCACTGTTTTCCTTCCTGGGTCTTTTCCATGCCTCCCATTTTGCTTCTCATCAGGTTCTTGCCTTTCAGTACCCTCTTGAGCATGTAGAGATATGTAGAATGAGTCTTTAACATCCTGATGTGCTGAGTCCACTGTCACTGTCATTTCTGGATCTGTTTCTATCACTCGATTTTTCTCCTGCTTACGTCTTGTATGTTCTTGCTTCATTGCCTGCCTGATAATTGTTAACTG